AGGAAGGAAGGAAGGAAGGAAGGAAGGAAGGAAGGATAGCCCTTAGACTTATATACCGCTCACAGTGCTTTGCAGCCTTCTCTAAGTGGTTTACAGAGTCAGCCTCTCTTGCCCCCAACAATCTGGGTCCTCATTTAAACAAACTCGGAAGGACGGAAGGCTGAATCGGTGGCAATAGCAAGAGCCCTTAGACTTAGGTAGAATAGAGTAGAATAGAATAGAGTTTTTATTGGCCAAGTGTTGATTGGACACACCAGGAATTTGTCTTTGGTGCTGATACTCTCAATGTACATAAAAGAATAAAAAAATCATAAGAATAAAAAGATACCACACTTAGTGATAGTCAAGGTTAGTAATAAGCTATCAAATTGTATTAGGAAACAAATAAAAATGATATAAATTGAAAGATACAAGCAACAGGGTTATACGCCACTTCACAATGCTTGAAAGCCCTTTTATAAGTTGTTGACAGAGTCAGCCTCTTGCCCCCAACAATCTGGGTCCTCATTTGACCCACCTCGGAAGGATGGAAGGCTGAGTCCACCTTGAGCCGGTCGGTATCGAACTCCTGGCAGTGGGCAGAGTCAGCCTGCAAATACATCATCCTAACCATGCACCACCAGGGCTCCCTGTGAAATTCTGAGTAGTCCTCGGCTTACAACCCATTCGCTTTGTGACTGTTTGAAGTTACAATGGCGCCATTTTTTCCCCGCGCCATTGTAACTTCAAACAGTCACTGAGCGAATGGGTTGTAAGCCGAGGACTACCCAGAATTGAGATATTAACTGGATTAGCGCATGGATCCAAACTAGCATAGTCTTTGTTTTTGCATTTGTGGAGTCCTTGATCCATCTCTCTCAGCGTGGTTAGAACTGATAGGATTCCTCTCCTGGACTAAACCGTGGTTTATAACTTTGTCCTGCAAACCCAGCCAATCCTGGTTTCTGCCCCCACAATCCTGATTATTGAATTATTATTTTCCCCCCCTCTTGATTTCCTTCTCTAGTTTCTCCAGCCTGTAATACTGGCTCCCCCAGCAGCTCACCGGGCGTGGTCCGTATTCTCCCAATATGGCGGACGAAGACCTGATATTCCACATGGAATACCTGGACAACGGCACGCTACCCAAACCAGGTTGTGGGAATTGCCACGAGGCGGACAGCGACGAGGAAGAGAGTTACTACATCTGTCCGATTACAGATGAGCCCATTTTGAACAAGATAGCCGGCGACAAAGTTCATAACTATTACAGCAACCAGGTCAAAAATGAGTCTTATTCCTCCAGCTCCTCTCCCAGGAATTCCTTCCATGTTAGGGTAAGTTTTAGCCTCTTCATAATTCATTCATTCGTTCATTCTCTCTCCCTCTCCCTCTCTCTCTCCCTCCCTCCCCCTCCTTCCCTCCCTCCCTCCCTCTCTCCTTCTCTCTCTCCTTCCTTCTCTCTCTCCCTTCCTTCCTTCCTTCCTTCCGTTCTTCCTTCCTTCCTTCCTTCCTTCCTTCCTTCCTTCCTTCCTTCCTTCCTTNTTTCTAAGCCGAGGACCCAGCGCTATGTGAAGACGTCACCATGTGGCCGGCATGAGTCAACGCCAAAGGCGCACGGAACACAGTTACCTTTCCAGCAAAGTGGTCCCTATTTTTCTACTTGCTTTTTTACGTGCTTTTGAACCGCTAGGTTGACAGAAGCTGGGACAAGTAACAGGAGCTCCCTCCGTTACGCGGCACGAGGGATTTAAACTGCCGAACTGCCAACCTTTCTGATCGACAAGCTCAGCATCTTAGCCACTGAGCCACCGCGTCCCTTTGGTGTAGCAATTAGGGTTATCAGTCTAGAAACCAGGGACAGAGTTCTAGTCCAGCATGAATAGGTATGAAAGTCAACCGGGTGACTTTGGGCCAGGAGACAGTGAGTTCTAGTGCCACCTTAGGCATGAAAGCAGACATAGGGGACTTTGGATCAGCCCCCCTCACAGGGTTGTTTTGTGGTAAACATAGGAGAAAAGTATTATGTACCATTGCCACCTTGACATAAAGTAATAAAGGTGGGATTATTTTTTAAAATAAATATTAGTATGAAAACTTGCAAAGAGAAATAATTGCCGCTTAACAGAGTTTCAAAACACCCGAATGCTGGAGTTTTGGGTTTATGTCTGGAAAGCCTTTTTTTCACCGCTTGGAAAGAGTCAAAAGCAGGCGATATGACCAACATCTCCCTGGAAACCTGGACAGTTAGCTAGGGAATTATTTGCCATCTAACCATTTGAGCTGGGATGAGGCAGCTTCACATCACTAAGGAGGTGTCCTTTCCAGCAGGTCTCCATGGGAAACATTATGAGGGGTCCACTACCGTGGCAGTCACAATGAGGGCAGGCACTCATGTTTCTAGTTTCTATGCAACTGCATCATGTTACGATTGGTATGTAGAAGAACTATATAAATAGGCCTGAAAAGTTGGACCGTGGGTCTGGCTCTTATGTGCAATGTGCTCACAGCAGACACACAGTAATAAAACATGCATTGACTCATAGGAGAATGCCTGCACCTGCCTCCTGACAACTCGTTGAAAGGTGGCTTAGAGAGTGCTTCACATTTGATTTGCCCAGGTCATCAATCTGAAATGGGTTAAGAGCAAGATCAATCAGAACAGAGATGAAAGGGACCCCGGAGGTCTTCTAGTCCAACCCCTTGCTCAAATACAATTTGAGACAAGGGGCTGTCGGGTGAAGGGTTCCATAGGTGGGGGCGAAGCCTGGAGGAGACAAGGCACTGCGCACTCACAGACACGTGCACAAACCACCTGCCTGTCTCCAATCGCCCTCACATGGGCGACAGAGGCCTAGCGCGCCATTTCCATTGCAACTTCGAGCGGTCCCACCAACGTGACCGCCCAACTCGGCTGTCGATTGGCTGCCTCGGAAATCCCCTCCCTCGGATTTGCTGATTGATTTCTACCCCCCCCCTCCGAAGGGGAGGGGGTAGTTCAGAAAGTGAGTGCGCTGCGTCTCTCGGAGAAACGAAAGATTATCGAAATAAAAGCAGAAAGTCCACTTTTCCTCTTCTTGAGAGGAAGAACAAAAAAGGCAACAACTCCAAACTCCAGGTTCATGGTACACAATCCTGACCTGGGTTACCGAGACTTTCCAAAGAGGCGCTGCTGCAAGGGCGCGGGANCTTATGAATGAAATTCAGTGTAGAGAAAAGTAAACTCCTACACTTAGGCAAGAAAAACCGAAAGGACACATATAGAGACTGGGTGAAACCAGGCTTAATAGCAGTGACTGGGAGAGGCTCTTGGAGTCTTAGTGGACAACCAGCTAAATAGGAGCCAGCAGCCAAAAAAGCCAACGCAATTCTAAATTGCATGAACAGAGGGATACAATCAAGATCAAGGGAGGTACTAATACATTCTATAAAGCCCTACTAAGGCCACACCTAGAGTCCTGCACCCAATTTTGGTCCCCTTACCATAAAAAGGATGTTGAGACTCTAGAAAGAGGGCAGAGAAGAGCAACCAGGATGATGAGGGGACTGGAGGCTCAAACATATGATGAACAGTTGCAGGAACTGGGCATGGCTAGTTTAATGAAAAGAAGGACTAGGACTAGACATAATAGCATCTTCCAATATTTGAGGGGCTGCCCCAGAGAGGAGGAAGGGGGGCAAGCTATTCTCCAAAGCACCTGAAGGCCAGAGAAGGAAGAATGGATGGAAATGACCAAGGAGAGATTTAAAACCTGGAAATAAAGAGGAATTTCCTGACTGGGGGAACAATCAACCCATGGAACAGAAGTTTCCTTCGGAAGTTGTGGGAGCTTCATCCCTGGAAGATTTCAAAAAGAAATGGGACTGCCATTTGTCAGAAAGGGCGTAGGGTCTCCTGCTTGGGCGGGGGGTGAGGGGTGGACTAGATGGCCTATAAGGGTTACTCTGCACTTGTTTCCAGCCCCCCTCCCAGCACCAAAGAATGGGTGGATGGGTGTCAAATAAGCTGCCCACCCCAAACCTCTTGTATAGTCAGCTTGCCTGACTTGGCTATTTTTTTCTTAAAATTCTTTATTTTATTCAGAACAAACTTAAAATACAAAATACAAAACACAAAGCAGTCAGAACTCCATTGTGTAGCGTCTCCTTACAGTCCTTGGGACGCTGTTTCTCAGCCTTGGCTAAGTTAAAGAAATGTGGACTTTAACTTCCAGATTGCTTACTAGAGAATTATGGGAGTTGAAGTCCACTATGCTGACTAGAGAATTATGGGAGTTGAAGTCCACTTATGCTGACTAGGAGTTCTGGGAGTTCATATATGCTAGTTAGGGAATTCTGGGAGTTGAAGTGCACTATGCTGATCAGGGAATTATGGGAGCTGACTAGGAGTTCTGGGAATTCACACATGCTAGCTAGGGAATTCTGGGAGTTGAAGTCCACCTATGCTAACTAGGAGTTCTGGGAGTTGAAGTCCACTATGCTGACCAGGGAATTCTATTTACTATTTACTACTATTAATTAGACTTATATACCGCTTCATAGGGCTTTCAGCCCTCTCTAAGCGGTTTACAGATTTTTTTAGCAAATTGAGTCAGCAA